GGGGGGGGTTGGGTCAGGCTGGGAGGTGTTCTTACGTAAAGATTCCCTGGACAATAGTGACAAATAGAGTATTTTGGTTTATGACTAGACAACCTTGTGGCCTAGAGGTTAAGGTTCCTGACTCTTTCTGCTGCCTTTCTGAAGCTACTCCTTGGCTCCTTACTGCTGTATTTCAGCCACACCCCTGATCTTCTGGTAGGAAAGATTTACACCTAGCTTTCTCGGACAAGGGCAAAAAATCTCGGAGGTCCTGTGTGCAAGATGCGCACGTTAAAGATCCCTTGGTGGTCTAAAATTGATAAGAGTATGCTTCGGCCGCCACCCGCGCAAAATTCTAAATTTCCTCCCAACTGAAAATGTTTTGTATGTCCATAGCACTCATATGACCTTATGCAATTGTGAGCGCCGTAAAACACTTACCAAAAAAAAAAAAAAGACAACCTACTGTATCAGAACATGACACTAGAGTTCCTCTCATTTGCCTGTATTGGCACAGTATCACATTTGAAATTAAGTAACAACAAGCATTTCTACTATTTCATTAAACTTTTCTGAACACAGCAAGTTAGTGAGCTTTAGCTAGAGAAGGTAAAATTAATATCAAATACAGAAAGCAGAAAAATAATGGACTTTAGCGAGAGAGAGAACTCTCACCAAACATATACGTATATACTAAAGCTCTAATGTGAAGAAAAATTTTTTTTGGAAAAAGACAAAACTTGTAAAGCTTAAGTCAGAAAAGAGCAAGGTGTGAACTGGGCTGTACTGCTGGGAGCCTCTGGTATGGACAGACTCTGGTGAGGAGAGTCTCAAGCACAGCACTCACCTCATACTCCCCAATAGAGCCGTAGTGGTCTCCAATCTTCTTGTAGTATTTGGCGGCCATTGACGAGTCCTGAATCTCCAGGATCTGTACAGCCTTGGCCCACTGGCGTGAGCTGATAGCTGCCTCCACGGCTTTGGTCGTCGCTCTGAAACAGTCAATGGAGGTTACAATATGACGCTGTTGATAGTTGGGGGTTATATAAACATTGAACACTGATGCTCAGTTCAACATACAATGTCTATCACAGTCGAGTATTCACTTTGCATAGTGGCTGTCGGTACATCATTCAATAAGGGCGAACATTGAGTATTTCCACAGATGTTGCATAATTACAGTCAATGCATCTAATCCTTCAATGAGATACAAAACAAAAACTCCCTGTTCCTGAAAAACTTGTCTAACATCACGCCAATAACAAACATACAGAAGACAACACTGAGATATGAGTGAAATCTTTTACAGTTTCCTGTCAGACATGTGCTTTCTTCTCCTCCCGCCCTCTTCTTTGTCCCAGGCTCAAGAGGCAAAGCAATGCCAAAAAGCCTGTTGAGAGAACATACCCGGCCTCTATGAAGTGGTTGATGGCAGCGTCCAGTTGTTTCTGGGACACCAGGTGGTCACCAAACTCTTCCTCCAGTTTGACCACCTCTGAGGGGAAGGCATGACGTGCCAGGTCCACAGCTGTCAAAGGGGGAGGGTGTTGGGAGGTGAAGAAATAGAGAAAACAGTGATAGAGAAAAGTAGCATGTATTCCTGTGCATTGATTGACTATATCATTATTGTTATTACCAAAAGAAAAAAAAAGCCTTTGTTCTTAATCACAAGATGAAAAAAAGTGGGTCATCAACATCACAAGGAAAACTGTGTGCTCTCTATAAAACTTCAAAGCATTGTTTAACACTTAACCTCAAACAAAACTGACCTAAAAAAAAAGAGTAAAAAACCTAACAACCAAACCACACAAAGCAAATTTTACTTTATGCCTATCCCTCTAATGCTAGCCTCCTGCATGAACACATCAAGTACCCAGCGCCTACCTCTCCTGAAGTCTTTTCCTTTCTTGAAGCACTCCATGGCTCTCTGGTAGTCCCGGATCTTCTCATACAGGTCCCCAGCCTGGGGAGAGACAGCCACACACACAAATCTCAGAGTCACACCACAATTCAAGTGAACAACATCAGCAACACAGTCATCCACAACTCACATTAGCACAAATGGAATCAGGATGCCTTTATCTACGGAACACATAGAAATCTAAGTAATAAAATATGTTCTCAAATAAGAAATTATCCAGCAAAAATCTGAACAGAAACAACATAATTTAGGATACAAAAAATGAGTCATCAAGTTTCTGCCTTGTACCTTAAAAATCTAGGAACCCCCTCTCTCCCATTTACACAAAATGGTTCAGTGTACATAAAGAGTAACAAGTTGAGGGTACATACCCGGTCATAGAGCTCGGACTTGATGAGGGCACCAGCAATGCGAGAGATGAGGTCTGAGTTAGACATGAGCTCCTAGGGAAAGACACACATGAGAATAAGGTCAGCTGACTGGTCTTCAAGTACAAGGGAACAGGGAAGGCACATCCTATACACACACATACATACATATACACATACAAACACACTTTTTGCACACACACACTTATTAGAAAAACACATAAACATAAAAATACACACACACTCGCACATCCAATACAATTCAGTGACAAGTGACATTTACACAACACTCACACACATAGACTTAATATATATAACAGCCGGTTCATGAAGTCAACACAAACATTTACAAAAACATTAATACTAGTACACACACAGAGACCTTCATCATCATGTACAGGTATACACACACAGACAGATATACATTCATACAAAAATATACGTACACAGGCAAAAACACATACAAGAACACCCACATACAAGTACAACATACAGATATGCATGCTCACATACAGGCGCACAAACAGACATGCATACATAAAGCACACGTAAAGAAATGAATACACTCAAACACAAGCACACACACATACAATGGCACACAATGAGATTCATACACACAGGCTTCCATACATATACACAAGCACACAACAGGAACGTGCACACACACACACACACAAGCAAGTCCGCACAAATGAGGGAACAGATACAGATATGCGTACGTACAAGATTTGCACACACACTTACAGGCACAACACAAGACATGCATGCATGAACACACTCACAGACACACAAATACACATGTATACACACTGACAAACAATGAAAATATAGCCCCTGTGAAGAATACACAGTTGACCATGCGCTAACCTCTCTACTCGCAGCCAACCTGGCAGCCCTGGCAGGAAGTCCGGCCTTCATGTAAAGGTTGATGGCTGCCATGTAGTCGCCTTCACGTTCCTTCAGCTGTGAAGAGGTAGGCAGAGGGGTGACAGGGGGAGGGGACGGAAGGCGAATGGTTTAGGGGGGGGGAAGGAGGGTTGGGCTGTCAGAGTTGAGAAAATGACAAAACCCCCTGGCATTTATCTTATGCACAAGACCTCTCCATCAAGCCAATCGCTTCATTTGCAACAGCAACAAAGGAACAGTCTTATTTGTACTTGTTGTTTGCATTTTAAGACAGTAGAAGGTAAAAAACATTTGTCAAAGAGAGGAACAAAACATGATTCTCACAAAATTAGCAACTGAAGCCCTTTCCTTTAACAAAATCGCAAGAGCACTATCAAATTCAGCAACAAATAAACAACAGGTTTCTTCTGGCAAAAGACAGACAGGAAAACTACACATGAGCTTGTTACAATGTACGGGCCTTAAGTGAATATGCTGGGCCATGCATTTACAGACACCAGCACAATGCTATGAGAAACCAGAGCAAAAGGTACCTCCATGATTTCAGTTTCCATCGCTTGGGGAAATAACACTGACACAAGAAAAGCCCTAAAACCTCTGATTCCTATCCCCCACCCCTATCAAAACAACAACCACCCTCTGAACCACCCCGCACTCCACTGACAAAAAGATCCCACTCTTTGATGAGGGGGGG